GGTTCCTTTAGTTTCTCTCTCGTAACATATTCCGTTACAGTACCTAATGAAGCGTCCGTGCGGATTAATAACTCGTGAGAACTTCTCATTCAGCAGTAAGCTGATAGTGGGCGAGTTTTTGATGCCCAAGGAGAGTGAAGATGGCGAAAAGGTGAGTTATATGAGTTGCACTTCATTATGGGTTCATACACGGTTACTGAGGAACCAGAGCTGGCGTCATTGGTAGACTTGTATGTCACCGCCGATGTTTGTTGGACGCTGAATCCCGCTTCTACGCCAAATTCCTCCTTTCAGACCGTGATAAAAGTGAGTGAAGAACTGATCGCTGAAGAAGTGAACCGGCTACTTTCGCTAAAGCCACAGCCGCGGAACGGAGAGCGAAAACATCGCGAAAAAGTTCCGCCTGCTGTTGAACCTCGAGCAGTTACCCCTGAAGAGGTACCGTACTTTGGAGCTGTCGTTGCAGGAGCAATTTTCACAAGAGGTCAACTAATTACAGGTTGCTGAACATCATGTTGAAGTGGAGGAATCACCGCTGGAAGTTTACGATGACGAGGATAAGATCAAGTGGAGTCGTGAACCGATAGATGACTGTTGCTCACGGAAATCAGGGTATGTCCGAGGTCTGAAGAAATTGGGAAGAGGATATAGGCTTTACTATCGAATGTTTTAGGCCGTGCCTGACTTACCTCGAGTAGAAAATCTGCACTTGAATGGTGCCGGATTTGCTGACGCCTTGATGGTGCACGAATTTGTAAATAATTTCTATCGGGTGCTAGAAATTGGTGAGTCATCTTGTTTCTCTCCCTTAAAACCTCCCACTTGAGGAAACTCATGGAATTTTTCAGATCCCGCCTCTTTGCCATCGCTGAGCGGATTATGTGCTGGTCTCGCTGGTGACGTCGAACACTCGTTTGAAAAAGTTCTACAACTCACCCGATCGCTCTTTCGACTAGCTCTCGAATATCCCGGATTGCCGAGTGGGAAACGGTATGTCTCAGTTTTTGGGTTTGTGGGCCGTTCCAAAGACTTGAAATCCGGTCTTGATTGTATCGCTCAAATCTACTCCGAGGGGTGTAGGTTCTTGATGAGTGGAGCTTATTAGCAGTTCTCCTGATTGAAGCTTATTCTCAGTCCTCCTCCTTAGCCTTGGCGCACAGTTTTCAGAATCATGTTCCGTGATAACAGGATGGGTGGAGATTTACAAACTATGCTCCGCGTTAGCAGGGTGGGTGGAGATTTACAAACTATCTGCTTCTTCTGCAGATGCGCCTTTTATTCCAATACTGTGCAGGATAGGCGCCGCGTCAGTGAGGAAGGCACAGTGCTTATAAATCTCCGCTCATCCTTTTCTCATGGAATGTGCCTCACGACGCAACGTGGAAGAATCGACTGAGACTGTTTATTTTCATGGACACCCTTTTCAAACGACCCGTATGTTTCAGAGGCAAGACGCGACTCGGCCAAACCTTGTCCGAAGTGGGTGTGACCGAGCAGAACTACTCGGAGCTGATGCGGTTATTTTTGTCGACGAGAGATTCGCATGCCAAGAAGGTAAGGTTGTGACATCACTATTTTTCATGAAAATTCTAAAACGCAACGAACTTTTCTAGCTTTCGCATCTGTTGGTGGATCGAAGTTTCGCAGAGCTCAGTGGTGAAGAGAAGGCGTCGATTTTGGCGTTCCTCTGCAACGAACTCTTGTGCTGCCCGAACATCGTCAAAGAAATCGACCGTAATCTTGAGGAGGTCGGACGGTTAAAAGGCGACCGATGGATGCGTGATGGAAAGGTGGGTCTCGAAGGCGCTTTTTTTTCTGGGGTTGTGCTGACTGAAGAGAGTTCTCCGAAAGCTGGACCAGAGCGATAGATCGTCAGACAGGATTGCTAATTTTTTGTGCCACATAGTTGCTAATAAACTCATCTAGTGGAGTAAAAATACATTGAAAGGCTGACAGATCGCTTCTTTTTGTGTCGTCGGTGTAATATTAATAGCCTGAATCCGACCCGTTGACGAAAGTTTCAACTGTTATATGATGGACAAGGACCCACACGTTGGTGAATGCGAATGGACA